CGACTGCGCCAGTTATATTTTGGACTTTTGAATTTTCCTTTTTAAAAACTTTATTTTCACAAATACAATACTTCCTTTAGCTCTGATTTCTCTGACTACCATAATTATGCGTTTAGCAAGTATATATAAGTTACATAATGCAAGTTAGCTTAAATTATGATAGTCCGGGAAGTTTAGAGGTTTAAGCGTCACATAACTAACGCAAATTTATGTGGAACAACATCTTTCTTCATTCTTTTCTAAACTCCCATTATTTTTCACTCCATAAAAATTTCCATGTCTTTTTCAAGCTGTGAATTAAAATAAAGAAAAATTGCACATAATGAAGCAGAGGTGAAACTTAAATCTAACGAACACACAGTGTTAAGAACCCTATAAATAGTATTGCTTTTATGCGAAGTTACATCAAAATGATCATCACAGGCATAAATGTTACTTTTTGCAGAAAGATCGGTGCAGTTTCTCCGCGCTGCTTTTATCCACAATTTCCGTTCCTTTTCGTTCAATGGCACTTTTACAAATGTTTTTCCTGGTGTAGGCGTAGTGGTACTTGTACACTGTGGCACCATGCAGTACTTATAAGCCATTTTAATTTCAATAATTGAGAAACAAGCAAACCAACACACCAAATTCACATTAGAGCATGGAAACATGTATAAGAGATGAATGTGGCGGAGCAGAATTCTGCTTCGTGACGTCACATTACGATCAGCCAAAACTCGTCGTTTCGGAGCGCTTTGTGTAAGTTTAAACTTTGACTGCTGATAGATTTGTTATTAGTAGACAGAATGTGAAAAAAAATTGTAGGTCCCTTATTTATTCATCAATAATCAATTTTATGAAAGAAAAAAAAGTGCCCCATTGATGGAGGAAAGACGGAAAATAAAGCATGGCAGCGTAAAATGCAATGAAACAGACAAAATACTAAAAAGAAAGATCAGAGAGACTAAAGAAACGGAAGTCAGGGACATGCGCACGGAAATAGAGGCTCTACAAGCCAAACACGATAGTTTTAACGTTCACAAAAAGGTCAAAGAGCTGACAGGGACATGCAGACGGAAGCAAATAACAACATTAACAAACACTGAAGGTAAGACAGTTATCGATAAAGATGACTTAAAGACGGCATTGAGAAAATACACTTGAGAAATACACAAATAAAAATTTGTCACCCTGCCAAAGAAACCAGGAGCAAAAAATGTGAGGACTCTAGAACAATAAGCCTTATGAGCCATCTATTGAAACTATTTCACAGTCATCCACAGAAGAATATACAAAACTTGCGAAGACCAAATATCGTCTACACAGTTTGGGTTCCGAAATGCAGTAGGTACCAGTGAGGCTATATACTCCATTCTGGTATTATTCCAAAGGTGCAGAGTCTTGAACTGTACCATATATGCATGTTTCATTGACTACCAGAAGGCCTTGGATAGAGTGTGATATCATAAAATAAAGAAATCTTGAAGGGTGCGGGCTTGGACGGTAAAAACATAGCGATAATAACCAACTTATACTGGAATCAATCTGCTGCAGTAAGAATAGGAAGTGAGACTACAGAATAAACTAAAATATTACGAGGCGTAAGACTAGGTTGTATTCTCTCACCTTTGCTATTCAATATGTATTCGGAATGCATTTTTAAAGAAGTTTTAGAGAATATTGAATCCGGAATCCTTTTGAACGGAGACATCATCAACAATATTGGATATGCGAACGACACGGTCATCTTCGCAGACAGCCTAGAAGGACTACAAGAACTCATGGACAAAATCACACAAAGCGGCCAACTGTACGGACTAGATATGGATATAAATAAGACGAAATTTACGGTTATAAGCAAAGAAAAAGTAAACAACTGCCAACTTACAGTAAATCAAAAACCAATAGAACGAGTTACCAAATTTACTTACCTAGGAACCAACGTCAATGATCAATGGGATCACTCTCAAGAAATTCGAGTTCGGATTGAAAAGGCAAGGTCTACCTTTAACAAAATGAGAAACCTATTTACAAGTCATCATATATTATTGATCACCAAAATAAGACGTCTTCGCCGCTATGTGTTTTCTGTTCTTTTCTACGGTGTGGAAGCATGGACGCTGACTGAGGCGACAACGAAAAAGCTAGACGCGTTTGAAATGTGGCTATATCGCAGAATATTAAAAATATTTTGGAAGGATCATGTGACAAACAGCAAAGTTCTTAGAACGGTAGCCGAAGAAAAGGAGGTAGTGAATACTGTGAAAATTCGAAAACTCCAATACTTAGGACACATCATGAGAAATGATAGTATGTTCCATTTACTACAAACCATCTTCAGTGGAAAAGTAATGGGGAAAAGAGGTGTTGGTAGAAGAACCTCAGATCTTGGTTTGGTTTGAATACTACGGAAATGTTTCGAGCAGCAGTGAATAGGGTCAGAATAGCCAACATCCGAAATTGATGTTGGAAGAAAATAAGGTCTTAATAAACAGCAATTTTATAAATTGCCAATCTACACCGGAAACTAAGTATTGAGAATGTATTTTAAATTTTAATCATTTCCTTTTTGCACTTGGCATGGAGAGGACCGAGCATGAATAAAAATCTAACAAACATTACTTCTAAGGAGATACAAGCATATTTATAGATATATTTTAGTAATAAGTTTCTTGGACGATGTATATTTATATTGTTAATTTATAAATTCTTGGGGATGTCGTCTTAATTAGGAAATTTGGGTTTAAGCTAGATGTCCATATCCAAAATGTTAAACTTCTTTATTTTCCAACGTATCGGCAGTGCTCTGCTGCCTTCCTCAGGGTTACAGATACTGTAAGGAAAACGAGAATGCAAAATCTATCTCTAACAGACCTATTGTTCTTGAAGAGCATCTTGTTGCAAGAACTATTACAAACTCCTAATATTTATACCAAGGTAAAAAAATCATTAAGGAGCAGAGATTTCACTCACATGATTTAATTGAGACACGATTCCACGTCAGCACAAAAACAATCCAAAACACATGACTGGACAACCAGAAAAAGTCAACTTATTTTAGTTAGGAATTGACTGGTTTGTCCTATATATTTTCCCTCACAATTATTGCATGTAATTTCATAAACTACGTTGGATTTATGTTCGGATTTTATTTTGTTTTTAAGTTTGGTGTAGTTATAGTTTAGAAGGTTATATCCTTTGTGGCTTACCATCATGTTTTCTTTTTGAAAGATATTCTGTACATTTTCTGAGAGATTTGGAATATAAGGGATTGTTAGATATTGCTCAGGTTTAGTTTTAGCTTTTTTATTGTGTTCATTATTGTCAAATTTGTATATTCTGTTTTTAAAAATGTTTATTAGTCATGGCTTGTGGGTAATCGTGTCTTAACAATAAACTTGTTTTGCTTTTTCTGTTGTGCTGTGTCGCAACCATAGATGAAGACAACTATAGATAGCCCACTCCCTTGCACCAAATGATAATAAGGTTTTTTACTGACACTGTCGTCTATTAGCTATTGTCGGCGCAGGATTTGCTATTGTCGGCGAGCCAATACTACAATTGAGATTAAAAGATGCTTAATATTCAGTTAGATATATTTGTACACAGGACAGACATGTTTCTGACTTATAAACAAATATATATATCAAATTGAACATAAACATACTCCTAATCTCAATTGAAGTATTTCGGCGTAGCCACGGCGTAGGTGCTTGAATATGTTAATAAAAACTCTATAAACATTTACACATTTTTATTAGTAAATAAATAGGCGAAACGCCAAGTACCATTATATTGTGAAAGGTGTTTGTTATAGGAACCAGAAACATTTGCTCAAGAAGCAAAATCATATTATGAATCAAAAATTCAGAAATTAAACAAATACCTAATTCAAAGTAACATTCCAAATTCATTAATTTAGTACAATTACTAATGCAGATACATATTTAGGTATGTGTATGGATAACATAATTATATATAGGTTTCTCACCTGTTGGCGATGTACCAAATTTTTTACGCCCTAATACAAAATTTAGTTGCGATGCGACAAATGCTTCTGCTGTGAAAATCTCTTACTGCTTTCGAATTAAGTCTCCTTACCCCTAAAGAGAAAAAATATGTTACTACATTGAAGAATTATATATTATTAGTAGGATAATATGTACTTACTCGAAACTGTGTGACACTTGCAGAATTTGTACTGGTGACAGCTGTAAAAGGGCTGTCCAGAATATCATCTAGGCACATAAATACAAATGATTAAAGTACTCTCATTTTAATACGCACGTACCTTTAATTTTTTCGGAGTACACAATTCAGGTGCTGATGCTGTGTGATTTGAGCTGCTCTACCTGGAAAGAGTGTCTTTGGAGTCTAAAAATTGATAGGTACCTCTCATCTCACTTCCTGACAATTAGTACTTACCCGGAAATGTGGCGATATTTGATGTGCCATGGGCATATTCAAGCGATGGTCCAGGAATATCGCACAGTTTGACTATAGGTTGCACCAACCGTCTTTTGCCAGGAAGCTATTCTCTATGGAAGCAGCACCTTGGAAACCTTCAAAATATATGTAGTATGTAGAGTGAATAATTTATGTAGTAATCTTTAAAACAAGACATAGGAGTCTTAGTCTAGTATATTTACTAGTCTTATTTAAAGATACCTGGGCGGTATTTTAATTGTTGGCAGGCAATTTAGTTCTTCCGTTTGCCTTGAAACACACATCGTGAAAATGTCTAGAGCACATAAATCCACTACAAAATTTCAATTTTTCCAATAAATAATCACATCCAGCCAGCCTGATCCAAATATTTGCTTCTCAACTTTTCATTTCTAGGAAATGAACATCGCATGAAAGGAAATGAACATGGTGGCAGAAAGCAAAAAACTTGTGCAAGAAACAAAGCCTTTTCCTGATGCCGCAAAAGACGCTTTGCAAAAAATGCAAATCAGCATCTTTGAAATCAGCACCCACGCTGTAAACGTCGCCATTTATGAGTAAGTTGCCTTGTAAGCAGCGGGTAGGTGGCGCTGACCACAATCAAAATCTTGGTCTGCCCTTGACTATTTGAGTGAGGCCCCATGGTCGAAACTCAGGACACAAAATATTCCCCCTAGGGGGTATGTTCTGTGACTCAGGATCTGTAAGTTTGATAGCTCGATCCGCAATGCCAATTACAACGGATTTTTTTTTGACAGAAAGGGTGCTGAGATTTAAAATTTAAATACCTGCCCGACCATGTTTGCCTTGTATACCAAATACTTTTCATTGTATTTTTGATAGGATTAGAGTTAGGTCTAAAAAGTTGATTTTGTCGTTTTCCTCGATTTCAATTGTAAATTTCAGTTTAGGATGATATGAATTAAAACAGGATAAAATATTTTCTTTTTCGGTCTGTGGAATGGCTAATATGCAAGCATACAAATACCTGAAAAAGAAGCAAGCAAGTTGAAGCTTAATTTGTCAATTGTTCATTGGTACGGCTCCAAGGTTGTTATTTTTTATATCAAATATAAACACTATATATCGTTTATTTAAGAAGCAATCACAATAATTAGGCAAATTTTCATAGATTTCAACATTGGCAAGGAAATATATTAAATATACCTTTACATAGAGTAGACAGATTGAGGTTAGATGGAATTAGACTAACTACCACTATAAATATAATTTCTATACAATTATAACAACATGCTGAATATGCAAATCATTATAGGAAAGCACATTTACTTGACTGAGACTGCGTGAAATAATAGTAATGTACATAATATATTTAAAAAGGACAAAATAACGTCAAAATATGTATGGAAGGTACGAGTCTAGAAAAAGATTGTCGAAGATTTGGTGTAATTGCTGCCAACATTCATAAACATGAATAAGGCTCCTTAAGAAGTAAAATATTGCTAAGATTGAAAAACACAATACACGAATGAAGAAAGCGATTACTCCAGGTACGACTTGGTGTTCTTCTTTTTCATGTCTATTTTGTTACCTTCTATAATTTTAGTCTAGTTTTATATTCGGATGTTAATGACAGTTTCATTCCTTGATCACTTCTTCGTATCGAAAATGTACAGCTGTTTCTATGCAAAACTCGCTACGAAACTAACGGGTTTTGTTTTGTACGAAACATATAGGGCAAAAAATAAAAACTTGTGTCGATTAGATGTTAGATTACAAAACTATTTGTATTAATGCAACAAGACTTTTATGTTACATATCAAGTTTTGCCGTTGTGTACACAGGAACCACTAGTTGCCAATACGTTGTCATATCAGCATGGGTAACTCAGTGAGTTTTCAGGAGTTGGCGCAGTGATGCCGAAACGCTTTGGTGCGCCAACCCAAGGCACCGGCGCAGTTAATCACTGGGCCAGTCACTTATTTGGTAAAACGTTACTAATAAAAAATGTGGTAAATTTTGTTTTTTGGTGTTTTTTTGTTGACTCCAGTCGCGGTCCTCGTAAAGCTCTAATCGCCCCAATGTTATATGCTTAGCGTTATTGAAAGTGCGGCGCAGTGAGGCACGATGAGTTATGACTCATTGGCGCACAGAGCGGCAAAAATTCAAAAGACAACTCAACACAGTGTTACCCATGCGTACTGCCATTCAATCTTGCGCGTTAAAAGTATAGTAGCTAAAAGTAAAGTAGTGTTAAGTGCCTCGCACCTTTCTCTTAAATTATGTAGTATGAGGTACGTATTTTTGAGTGCTCGTTTTTACAAACAAAAATATTGCTTTTGTGTTTGATTCTTTGGCAACGGTACAGTAGATTTAATTTTCGATTTCAAAGCTGCCTATCTTTCTATTATTCGCCGTGATGTCGCCGGCATAGGTGAACACAGAAGCATTGTTGCCAATATTTAGGCAAATAAAGTCGCATAGCCATAAACAAAAAGTCGCTCAGATCGCCCAACGTTGACGAGGACTTGGCGGTGCGAGCTTTCATCACCCATTTTGGCGCATATGGCAAATTCTACATTTGAGACCCATTTTATCAAATTTGATTGCCTAATTTGCGATTTGTCGCTAAACTTAGTAGCACTGGCAGAAAAATATACGTTGGCCGAGACGAAAATGTCATCATAATCGTGCATTCGCCGATCTTACGTATGCTCAATTTGGTGCTGAACGAAAGTAAATAATAATAAAGGTCAAGTAAATACTTTTAGGGTTGGTAAAGTTGGGTTACATGGGAAGTGTTTTAGTATGAGTTAATTATTATAAGTATTAAGAACATTTTAAGCTATTAAATATACATCGAGATCTCGACATATTGGATACTGTACATCGAAATAGCTATTTTGAATGCAGAATTGGATATAACGCAATTGGTTCGCTGCCGACTGGCTCTTCGCTATGCTGGCATATGATATCGGCGAATCGCTGCGATTGACTATGCATGTGGGCGTTAGTGTATGGACGCCGCGCTACCCGAATTAACGAAATGTCGAATTATCAGGTTTGCAATGCGCAAACCTAAATAATAAATTGGCAGAAGATGCCGGTTGAGGAACGAAAAGCGACAGAAAAAAACTTTCTTTCTTGGGCCTCCGGTTTGGATATATTTCAGCTGTCCTCTAAAAGGGGACATAGTGAATTCTGAATGAATGTCTTAAATATAGCAAATGCAACAATTATGCAGCTATAAATCAATTATTAATTATATAATTAAGTGTGAGTCAAATAAAATCAGTTAAAAGAAATTAAAAAATATTAAGAATCTCGCAAGAAAAGATGTGGAAACAACGACAATCAGAATTGAATGAATATTGGCCTAGATAAATAGAATACGATCTCCAGCATGGAAAACAAAAGAATAGAAACGACCTATAGGAAGTCTTGGCTGAATGCACTACGCTCCTCCATGCCTCCCGGTTCTCCAAAAGATTCGTGTCCAGAGGGGTATTCATTTTTGTGAGATCTGCTTTGATGTTGTTTTTCCATCTCTGTTGTGGTCTCCCAAGTGGCTTTTTTCCTTACGGTCTCTGCTCCCATGCCAGTCTCGTCAGTCTGTCATCTGGTAGTCTATGGACATAACCGTACCGTCTTAGGCGCTGAGACTTAACAATATCTCAATATTCGGGGACAATATCCCCCACGCCATAAAGCTGACTAATCTCAGCGTTTGTCCTGATGCGATACTGGTTGCTATTAGGGTCATGACGGGGATCAAAAATTTGTGGTAGAATTTTTCTTTCAAAACACCTAAGTTTTTCTTCATTAGCCTTCAACATTCCATCCATAACATCCATGCTTTTATAGATTCTTTACCTCTATACTCTTTTCTGGGGTTATAGGTTATATTTCCTCTGTGACATAGTTATCGGCTGTAATTGTAGCTCCTAGATGCTACCTGTTTATGCACATATATTTTGTCTTTTCCTCGTTAATACTAAGTCCTACTTATCTTGTAGCCTCTTCTATGCGATGAAAGATACCTTTTACTATTAGTGTGGAATCTCCAATGATGTCAATTTCATTTTCATGTGCTAACAATAATTTCGGGACCCGTAAAGTCAAGAGTTCTGTTTGAATTTCTGCTGACCTCGTTGCTGTCTCTAGGGCGATATTAAAGAGTACAGGCGACAAAACATCTCCCTGTTTTAATCCGCTACGTATCTTAAATCCATCAGAGAGCCTATCATTTATTCGCACTGTGGGTTTTCCGTCTTCCATACATGCTATCGTCATTTGGATGAGTTTTCTTAGAATGGAGAATTCTTTTATGGATGGTTCGTCTGCAGGGAGATCTGCTATGTGGTATGTATTTGCAGTGTGTTTTGCATCGGGTTTTATATTTTAGAAGAAGAAGAATCAAACATTAATTTATGGGGCCAAAAAATGGAAAGAGTTCAAAAATACAAATAGCTGGACACCCGGATTACAGAAAATCACGACCAAACAATAGAAATAAGAACTAGAATAGAAACAGCAAGAAATACAATGTGTGAGATTGAAAACAATCCTCTGTTCCAGAGAGCTTCCAATAGAACTGAGGGTGGCAACATTAAGGTGCTATGTGTTTGCAGTACTATCTCAGGGATTGGAAGACTGAACGCTTAAACAGGAACACTTAAACAAGCTGCAGTCGTTTGAAATGTGGAGTTACAGAGAAATGCTCAGGACATTATGAACAGAAAGAAGAACAAACAAAGTTGTACTGCGAGAAATGGGTAAAAAATGTGAAGTAATTAACCCGATAAAGGCAAGAAAGTTACGATACCTGGGGCACATAATGAGAGTGCAGCAGAAAGATAAAGGGAAGGAGAATTTCATGGCCGAAAAATTTTAATTTCATTTGTAGCTCATTAGAACTTTTCAGAAAAGCGGCAAATAAAGTTAGAATAGCAGTGATTATATCCAACCCCAGATAGGAGACGGCACTCAAAGAAGAGAAGAATGGTTTAATAAATCAGATAACGTCAAACATTTCGGTATTTTTATGTGTAGGAGAATTCACTAAGAAACGAATCTGTTTCAACAAAATTCGTCAGCCAATTTGAATCCATCTTATGGAATTTAAGCATGGAGTTTCAGCAGTAATAGCGGCTTAGAAGATGTGAAGAGCTATTAAAACAAGGGCTAAGTTGAGTTGTCACGGCTCCGCACTCGGTTCCAAGTTTGGAACTGGACATACAAACTTCCACTGCAAAGAGATGCCTTAAAAAATATTGCTTTAAAAAATAAGCTTATTATATGTTATACAGGCGGTTCCATATTAAGTCGGCACTATTGCTAATTTTGTTATCAGTAAGAAGTTATGCTATGAGTTGAAATGGGAATAAAATGTATTTTTTTGGCATATTACGATACATGAAAACTAACAAGTATCAGATCTTTGAGTTAACTTTAAATTTCAATGATTTGAGCCTATGTATAAATAATGGAAATCGATTAGAAAATTACGGATAGATTCCTGTTAATAGGTCTAAATAGTTTCTAGTTGAACAAATAAATTGACGAATTCTAACAATTTTTTAACTTTAAGGGCCCTTAATTAAAATATTTTATTTCAATCGATCCACTCTATGTGGACCTTGGGTATTGGGCCTTTTATTCGAATAAGTATATTAAAAGATAATCCAAAACATGTACTTTAAACATATGATTAACTCCCCGACATTACGTAGCAGTCTCAGTAGAACTCTAATAAATTTTGAACAAAATATTACTATTAGTACGTACTAATAAGTACTATTGGAATATTATTGTGAATTTTATATACTACTTAGTAAGTAGGTCTACTGTTACTTTTACTTGACCTCTTTGAACATTCGAAACAAAACGCATTTGTTGGCGAAAAGAATCACTCCATCTTGCTTATAGAATTAGACTTTTTATAAATAATTCTATACAGGGTGATTTATGTCAAAGCGAGTTCGATTATGTTCTAGTCACGGTTAAGCTCATGTGCACCGACGTGATAGTCCTAAATCGCTTCAACACGGGAAGCGACGACAGACTACTGAGAGCTAAAATACGTGCGGATTCTAGATCGGAAAGAAAGAAGTTGAAAGAAGAGGTTGTGAAGAAGCTGAGACCAGAGAGGACTGGGTTGCGGTCGAAGCAGGAGGAGTCAGCAGACAGATTGCATAAACATTAGAGCCGAAGGACACGCTGAAAGATCTGGAGTTAAATGAGCTGACAGGGAAAATCGTCGAAAGTATCCGTGTTGTCAAGTAACAAAGGAAGTCTGCATATGTGGAAGGCAGTAAAACTCGAAGCTCACTTCCGACACGACCAGATTTATGGAAGAACGAAGTCATGGATTGCGATTCGCCGCCCGCTGGACAAACTATTAATGAGTCGTAGAGACTTAAGAGCGCACAACTCACGGATGATTCGAGAAGCCATCGAGGACAATATTAACATGAGGGTCCTCCGTTCCAGAACGGATAGTGGAAAACCAGTCATCTATAAGATGAGGAACAAACGGGGTGTAGCTGTGTCAGGGAGAGGCAAAATCGCTGCGATCATCGAAAATTTCTATCGGAGACTATCTCAGACAGAAAGCCGGTCAGTACCAGAACCTGACTAGCTCCCGGAGAAGACCAAGTGACGCGTGAGATGCTGAAAACTGGAGAAGAAACTGTGGATAAGACACTTCTCACTCTCTTTAACAAGTACCCTGAGGAGGAATGGATTCCAGAGACATAGAGACATTCTGAAGTCACCACCCTTTTCAAGAAGAGCAACTCTTCAAACATCGAGAACTGCCGCCCGATTACCCTCCTCACCGTGTTATATAAGCTCCTTACCAAAATAATCACCAACCGTCTGATCATCTCAACCGACAAGCTTGTCTTTTACTAACCTGTAGAGCACTCTGGATTCAGGAAGAAGTACAGCACGATAGACCACATCCAGTCGCACGTTCATCGAGAAATGCACTGAATACAACGTCCCACTACACCTAGCGTTCGTCGATTACCAGAAAGCTGTTAATTATGTGGAGATCTGGGCAGTTCTACATACGATGCACGCTGCGAGGATTGACTCAAGCAAGATACTCGAATCTCAGCGGAAAATGAATCATCATGAAAATGTCTCTTTTGACGTTAAAGCCGGGTAAGATTTGGTCACCGGAAGGGTCCCTACTAACAGAGGAGTTAGATAAGGCGATACTCTCTTGCCAAAACTGTTCACCCTGGCGCTACAGGACGTATTGAAAAACCTGACATGGGAGAAGAAAGGCATCAATACCAATGTCCAGGAGTGGATGGGAACAGACTGAAGAAGAAGAGGGTGATTTACGTTGACCGTGCATAAGAACTTTTTCAAATTGCAGTTGCTTTGGAACCTTGAAATTTTGACCCCGGTCATTACGAGTCGTGTCAAAACCACGTAAAATACATTTAGCCCTCCAACTGTATAAAAACTATAACCTAACTTTTTTATTTTGAATGCAAACTCCTAATTTGTTTAGCATGGTTAGATTGGTCCTCCAATTGCTGCATTGGGTAACCCTGGATTTGTTAATTTATCTCTTATAGTTTTTGATATATGTTGTTTGTTAAAGAAAAAAATGCCATTACAGATGTTTACGGAACAAGCTACATCTATCTAAGGAACGCTTCTAAATTGAAAACCCAAATTTTGTAGATAGTTAGCTAAAATCCCAAGCTAACTCTCGAGATGACATTAGGGTACCGTTTTGCAGCCTATGGGTCACGCAATCTATAAACATTGACATGAAAAAGGAAAAAACATGTTTTGGGTTTTTTTTTAAATGACACCTAATAACCACTATTTAGTTTAGATTCTTCTTGTTTAATCATAGCAAATTTTCCAACAGGACCAAATAAGTTTGTAGTGCCATTTAAAAACCTGATTTTCGACACTTTTTATACCAATATTTGTATGCCATATACACCCACATGGTTTCGGCACGATTATCTACGACCGGAGACAAAATTTGAAGTTTCTGACAACAGCTGCAAGTTGGAAAACTTCTATTGCACGGTCTAAGTAAATCACCCTATATAGCTTATCATATTGCAGAAAGTTTTTGTATGTTCATAACTGTTAGTAAAATGCAAATACGCATAATTTTCTTCATACAAAGGTATGCTGTAGTTATGTAGTATAAACTCCAAAAATATTAACGTTAACTATGTTAAGTCACTTTTGTTACATGATCAGTGAAAAGCTTTTCTTAAAATAAAAGGGAAAACACGTTGCAACGTTATAAAGCTGACTGGGCTTACCCACCAACGTCAATTTGATTTCAAATCTCAGAATATATAATATTTGCATCGAAAGCTTTAAATTTCAGTGGAATTTTGAGTCACATTTAAATAGCGTAGTGAACAATAGTCCATAACCACACCATGGCTGCACTGATTGATTTGGTCTATATCCATGAAGAGAAAAATAACTCCCAAGGTAGTAACTGATAGACCAAAGAATGCCACTCCTAATGCTGGAAGCTTGTTACGGTCGAAAATCCTTCCTTCCTCAAGGCGCAGATAGCAGAAAGCTGGAAGGACAAAAGCCAGAGGAACCGCTGCAAGTACTCCCTAAACAAAAACAACAAAATCTGTTGTATTTACTTATGTTAAGGATACATTACATTAGATACAACATATCGAATTTGCTATCCCATGTAAAACATAATAAACAAGTATTGTTTGTTAAATTTGGGCAAATAATTATTTCATCAGTTAAACTACAACATGAAATCTAACTAATGACCATTTTCGTTTTTTTAGTTTCCTCTTTTTTAGTTAGAATAGTACGTAAACTTTTATAAACTTTTTCAAATTACCAAAACATCTTACTTAGGTCCAAAACTTCTATGTATTATGGGTAAAATGATATTGTCGATAGTGAGCACCGGTAAACTACATTTTAAAGTCTTGCTTCTCAGTATCGGAAATAACGTCAATTTAATTGACTATAGAGTTCATAATTCATTGCCAGTCCCAACATTGATCCATCGGACCCAATTTTAATAAAAATTAAAAGATAATTTAGTATCACACCAGTAATTTGAAGAATAATTATTGCTTGCTCACGTGGAAACATAATGCGCTGGTGCAAAGTAGGATTGCAAGGGCAGGAAATTCCGCAACCGATCTTCTTTGGCAAATAATAACTTTTCATACATTATTCTTGCAAAATATCCGTTCGGCTGTGTTTATTAGAATGTATGATTTAGTGGATTTTTTTACAAAACTTCTACCTCTACCAAGATAGATCGAGAGGTGCTATGGAAACTGTTAGACCTATATGTTACCGGTAATGTATAAAATCCGGCAATGTGCAAAATGCCTAAAGTCCGTGTCCTATACATCAGTTTATTGTTCATACGACGACGGACGAATTGACAAGACCTTTGCAGGATAGTTTTGAAACGGAACTTGTCTGCTTAGTTTAAGAAAGACAGTTTACTGTTTAGTGCCCCTAAGTAACAAACCACTTTGTTAAATTTATCGCGTTTTCAAAGTGTAGCCTATTGTTTATTACTTTATTTACATTTGTATCCTATTAGCTTCGTGCAGAAAATGTTGATTGTTCGGTAGTTTGATATTGGGGTTTATAGTTTAGTTTAAAATTGAAACGAGTTTAATGAATAAGGAACATCATTTTGAATGAAAAACATTAAAGAAAAAAAAGACTGAATATGAAAGAACACACAATATTTCCGAGAAACGATGGGCTGGAAATATGTAAATGCGTTAATCAAAGCACACTGATAGCATCATTTTGTAAATGTTTACAAAAATTTAAAAAACTTGCGCAATTATGGAGCTAATAATTTGTGCTGTCATACTTTAATGCTGATGTAAATTATAATGTTATAATTTTTTTTGGATTCATATTATATGGGACAAATCAAACACAGGAAATGCCTCCTCTCTTTTGTCGACGTTTCGACCCTTTTATTGGGGCCATTCTAAGGCAAAAGTGATTAAAGTTTTGATTTTGTCGTAGGCGATAGACGATTTGATTTTATGACGCGTCGGCATAAAACTTGCAGACAGTGTAGGTATTGACAGTGCTCTCTTGCTGCATGTCTTTCATAAAAACAAAAAAAACGAGAACAACCCGTTAACATGTTCTATATCAATTTAAAGTACAATAAAAGGAAAAACTTTATCACTGTGTCCTGAGGATGACCCCAATAAAAAGGTCGAAACGTCGACAAAATTGAGGAGAAACGTTCACAAAAATAGCCAACGAGGTATATTTCTCATAAAGCCAACTGGCTCCTGCAATGTTTTTAAGGGACATAGCTAATGATAATATGCCTGATTGCTACGAAATCGAAAGGGACTTATCGCGTGATGCGCGGAATAAAACGGAGATTGCGGGATAACTTACGAAGTCGGTTCCGACTTGAATACCTCGGACAATTAAAGATCTGGAACCAGAAGCGGCGTAGTCGTGCCGTCAAGATCGGAGACGTCGTTTGATTGGGGATGACAAAAAAAGCGTATTAATTTGCCAATGAGTCGAGTTAAAAAATTGCTAGCAGGTCAAGATGGTCAAGTTCGGGTAGTAAAGGTTAAGACAGTTCGCGGAGAGCTGTTGAGACCCGCCCAGAAGCTTCTCCTCTTAGAATATCGAGCTACCGAAGATGACGTGAAACCCGAGGAAAGACCTGAAAGGGATAGACATCCCGAAAGTTAATATCAGAGAATCTGTTGCTTCTCTGAAATCCAGTACTATTATTAATTAATTAATAAATTAATAATAAGCTGTAAGGGAAAAAAGCCCTTGTTTGTTTGTTAGACTTCATGCCGATACTGACAAGTTTAATGTAAATCGTGAAATTCGACAGGGCGACACTATCTCCCCTAGACTGTTTAAAACATTACTTCAATACATGTGTAAAAGGATAGATTAGGATGATATGGGTATTAATGTCAACGGTGAAAACCTCAACCACCTCAGCTTCGCCGATGATATAGTTTTAATCTCAGACCGTATTGACAATGCCAGAGCATCTCTTGGAAAACTCCACCAGGCATCCGGACAAGTTGGGCTAAAAATCAACATATTAAAAACTCAATTTATGACTAATCTAGTAGTATCCACCAATATACCCTTAGGTGATAATGAAGTACAACAAGTGACATCACAGAAATACTGGGGCCACGAAATCCGAATAATCCGGGATAATCAGACTTCTGAAATCTTTAGGAGAATAGGTTTGACATGGGCATCATTTGGCAACCTCAGAGAATCATTCAGTCTGAACTCCCCATATGTTTAAAGAGCAAACTTTTTAACCAATGTGTCCTGCTAGTGAAGACGTATGGAGCCGAAACCTTAACACTAACTAAGAAATCGATTAATAAAATAACAACAACACAAGGAGCAATGGAAAGATTGATGTTGGGGGTATCACTTAGAGAAAGAGTACATAACAGAGATATACGGCGCAGGACGGGAGTTACGGATGCAGTAAAGAAAATATCCTCTTTAAAATAGAACTGGGCAGGTCACGTTTGCGAGAACTAGACGATCGATGGACTAGAAAAATTATCGAATGGAGACCACGATGTGGATGGTCGAGGGATCCGCCGAGGAGGCGGCTCCCCCAACGGCTTCCAAGGGGGATAGTGGACCGTCAACGGGCTCTTCTGACGGAGAGTCCAAATCTGACGTCAAAAAAAGTCCAAGTCTGACGGAGCGTCAAAAGCCCAAATCGCCGTCGGAAGAGAAAGAGGATCAATCCTCGCAAAGCAGCCCAGGCAGCCCAGCAGTCCCGGACCAGCATTCAGCAGCCAACCAGTGATGTCACGAAGAAGCAGGCAACCCCTGCCGCCCAGCAGACTTCAGCAAGGAGGTCAAAAATCCCTCCAACTGTCCTCCAAGAAAATAATAGATACGACGAGATCACTAGGAAACTGATGGACGCAAAAGTAAACTATGGCGGTGGCATAACCACAAAAGAGGTAGTGAGGACTTACCCCCCAACCGACGATGACTACAGGAGGATGATTAGGATACTGGACAATAATAAGTACCAGTATCACACTTATCAGCTGGAGGAGGAAAAACAGCTGAGAGTAGTCATCCGGGGTGTAGTCCAATCCTGGACCAAAGAAAAAATCCGGGAGGAGCTCACTGTTCTCGGATTTCACCCCACTACAATCGTCCGATGACGCAAAAATGGACTGCCCATTCCGGTAGTACTGGTCCTACTACCGAAAACCGAGAAGACCATATTTAAAGTTCGGGCTCTCGGAAACCTGCGTGTGAGAGTGGAATCGCAGCACGCAAAAACACAGCTGACACAGTGCTACAGATGTCAGCTGTTTGGACACGGGCAGTCCAAATGCACAGCGGCCGCAAAATGTGTAAGTGCGGTCGATCGCACGAGTCTCGCGAGTGCCAAATGCCAAAAGAAAAGGCGGCAAAATGTGCAAACTGTGGAGGAGCACATCCAGCCTCCTACTCAGGATACCCTGCAAAGCCAGTGCAGAGGCAAAAACTAAGCCAGCAAGCCCAGCCAACAGCAAAGCCACAGCCACAGCCACCAAGAAACAACATGAGCTACAGTTCGGCAACAAGAAAGAACCTGCCGCCCCAACAAGCCCCCCAACGTTAACAAGGGGGCAATACCGGCCATCAACAGCTGGCCCAAACCATCCAGGCCATGCAAGCACAGATGCAAACGTTCATGGCCACGATGCAATCCCAGATGATCGCATTGATGAGCAGTCATGTCTAGACTGCTCAGGCCCTAGTCTCTGTGTGTCGTCTCATGGAACGCGAGCGGAGTTAAATGCAAGAAGTTAGAGCTGGAAGACTTCTTGGAACGATGTAACGTTGATGTGTGCCTAATCCAGGAAACGTTTCTAAAACATGGAGATAGGTTCACCTATCATTCAGACGTCACTGCAGATGATCAGCAGCCCGGATAGAGGGAGCATATCTGGAACCATAAGCAGGGAAAAGGAGGTAAACGATGGAAGTAAACCAGAT